AATGCACATTCCAGTCCATCTTTGAAATCATTGGGATAATATATTACTATATGTATGGTTTTGAGGGCAGTGGGATCAAGACCACGGCGTAGGGCGGAGACTCCTCCGCTTGTCGAAGACTAGTGTCTCCGCGCTGCGCGTAGAGAATTGCCTCCGTTTTACGTGGGGACATGCTTCGTGCAGCTCGGATACCCCTCTGCGCGCGCGGACGGGAGTCTCCACGCCAGTACCCGCTTCCCTCAGCGCAGAGATCAGATCTTTTGTATACGTAAATGGGCAACATACTCAATATATAAGGGAAAAAGTGTATGTTGGAATGAATGAGTACGTCTATTGAAGAAAAAACCGTTAACTTCCAACAGACACAACTCTTCAACACATATACGAAAATCAGAATTCTCTTTCGAGTGTGTTGCCCCCGAGCCCTCACGAGGGGCGCTGCTCCCTCGATTCCCATTTCAAAGCGGCAAACCATTTGCATAATAATAATAAACAAATAAATAAAATTATGCAAAAATATCCAACAATTTTTCAGTTCAACTATGTAACATTGTTAATTTGTTTTGATATTATTGAAAACTGAGATAATTCTATACACATCTCTATTGCTAAACAACAAAGTATAGATACAAACTTATCGCTAACATTACATTCAAAATAACATAACCCTTGCATTGCACACGTAATAGACTAGTATATGAAAAAGGATTATCAATATGGAACTGACTAGCCCTGCCAACAATTCTAGAGGCTTGTTGGGCCTAAAGCACGGCCCAGTTATGTAGCCAGACAGGCTGGACCATTCTACTCAATACTTCAAAAAATTGCATCATTGGTCATTAGTATATCTCTCTGTCAGAAAATTATTCTCCAACTTTTCAAAACATCAAATTTTCATTATAATTGCACAACTAATCTGCAGAACTATCCAAATATTTGTTATATCAACACATGGCCGAGTGAAAGCATGCCACTTCAAATTTTGGACATCACTCCAAGTTCAGTAACAAAACTTAGATTTCATAAAGTATCACATACAATTTAAATTTTAAATTTGATAGTTTAGAAATTAATTTGCATGTATAATAAAAAATATTGTGGATTAACTAACTTTTCTTTAAAAGTCTTGGACTATTTAATTATCAAACAATAAATCAAGGACTAATGGTGTAAATTTCCCTACGAGTTCTTACTAGTTTTTATTAGACCAAAATTAACCTTATTAATTATATTCAAAAATCAGACTAGAATCTTATCAATATAATGTTGTGAGATAATTTAATACTAGAAAAATTTACGAAATATAGCAATTAGTAAATTTGATTTGTTTTAACAATGTTGGAAGAGTCAAACAAAGTAATTCTAAAATTTTCAATATTTTGCTAATTTATCAAAATTAGTTTTTATTGATTTAGTGTTAGGCTTTAGAAAAAGAAGATAATAAATATTATAAAAAATAATAATTAGAAAATAGTATGCCAAATATCATATGATAGGATGTGATTTATTATTTTAGATTTATTTTGTCTATTTAGTTATTTATAATGATGTATTTATTTATTTTTTCAATAAAATGTGTTTTTTTAAAAAATATTTATATGTAAAATATAAGCCCCTGTTTGGTTCGGATTAAAATCTGATTTTAATTTAAATCAAAGTTAAACAATTAATATTAACCACATCTTTCATGTGTCCCACAACTTTTCAACCACACATTTCAGAAACATATATCAAAATATACTAAAATTCTAATTTTAATCTCTACCAAACACTCTTTAAATTTTCATTAAAATTATTGATTTATTTTCATTTTCACTTTAACCCTCGCTAGCTATTGGCTAGGGAAAAACATTTTAAATTACACTCGGACTAAAATATTGGTGAATCGTAGTTTATAAAAATGAAGATGGTCGCGAATTTATTTGATTCTGCTTCAATTTATTTATTAAAAATACAAAATTATTCACAACTTTACATAAAATTAAATATCTAAAGAGAATAATTAGTGTTGATTCTATGTAAAGAATACTAGATTTGTCCAATTATCTAAAGAGAATAAATAGTATTGATTCTATGTAAAGAATATTTGTCAAAAAAAATCAAATGTATCTTCCACTCCGAGACACTAATCCGTAAATCAACTAAGTTCGTTCCCATTTGACATCTCACTAAAAATTTGGCACGTCACTACATTAGTTCTTTGGCACCACGTTACAGAAAAAAATCATATTTGAAGTGGCCTCTTGCTATTTACTAACAAGAAATAATGTAGTACGATGTTAAATTAACTTTACGGGGAATAGTCGATGGAACAATCCAATGTAGACAATAAATTGGGGCTCAATTTTTGTGAGTCGTGATATATTAAAATGATACTTTGTCACCTTCATTACACCTTTAATGAGATGAAGTGAATAGCATTGTACGGCTTTATGGGATAAAAGAAAATTAAATGTTTTATTCACTATATCAAACATGGTACGATAATTGCTCGAAAGCTCTTTCTCTAGTCCCCGAGGATTTCATAAGCGTAATCACTAATTCCTCGTAAACAAATTAAAAATTTATTCTTTCTATTTCGCAGGATGTTCAATTTAAAAGCTGCTTTTAAGACTGGAGACCATGTTGAAAAAAGGCGACTATTGGCAAACCTTCAACGAGATTAAAAAATATATAGAAAAAATCCAAATGATGGAATTGGTGACTGATTCTAGAATATAAAATGATCAAATCGAGACAAAAGAATATCAATCCTGTTGAAAATTAGAAACCCTAATTCTACCACTATAAGCAATAAAATCGCAGAAATAAAATAGACACAAGATTTATACATGTTCGTCTTAATATGAGACTACGTCATCTCCCGTCATTACAATAATTCATTACGAGGAAAAGAAGTTTATAAGAGAAAATTGCATACCGTATCTTCTCTCCATTTTAATTCGCGTCCTTGCTCCGCACAATAACAATAATTAGAATCAACAACTTAACAGATCCGACAAGCATACAATTTTGAGAGAATCGAGGTGCGTTATAAATGATCAAATATATATAAAAGACACATATTATATACACCAATAATCTTTCAAGCTATCAAATAAATCACACAAACTCAATATTTTAATCAAAATCCTAATACGTGCACAATTTTTTTTATGTGAATATGCGACAGCGAACATTGAACTCAAGAAGTTCTATACTTCTATTCCTGCTATCATTATAGCTTCAGAGAGAGAAGGAGAAGGTGCAATTTATTCGTTTGAGTAATTAATCTGAAAAGACTACAAAAGTAAAAGGGAAAACTATAAAACCCTAAACGGAATAAAGACTTTTACTACCTTAAGATTAAGATGTAATTACATAAATACCTAAAAAGTATTTGGCTAAGCTTAAAAAGTTTAAGTTCAAATTTAGAAATATGAATAACTTAGTCTAACAATTCAATTTCAAAAATAAGAAAAAAGACAATATATACATTGATCATGTTAGAAGCAAATAAAAGTAACTTTTACTAACTTTCAAGCTTAGCCAAACAAGCCTTAAGGATTATTAAGAGTGAAGGCATGCAGAAAATCCGTACTAGGGATACTCATCTCTTTGTGTAAAGATACATTGAAACCTTTAAAAAGCACTCAATAATGATCTCCGAAGTGACCCCAAAGATCAGCAATAAGCAATTTTTTTTAAAAAAAACCTGAATTGCATGCTTATTACAAGAATAATTCTATGTAAAAAGCCCTTCACGCCTGGCCCCTTAGGTTTTTTCCAAAAGTTAAATTGTTGCTCCTTCCATAAAAGGAGATTTTTTTTAAATCCATAATATGGGAAAGTCATCGAGAGTTTCTTAACGTTTTTTGTTCAAGTTGCATATATATAATTGAAGGTTGTATTTTTCCTTCAGGTCTCCTTAGTGTGTTTTATTATATGTGGGGTGGGGTGGGGTGGGGTGGGGTGTTATCAACCCTTTCCTTTGGTTAGTGTGAATGTCTCTTTAGCATAAAAGGTTAATTAAACGTGGGGCTTCCTATGTGCTTTCTGCTTGAGGACACAATCATCAAAATATTAGAAGATGCCCACCTAATTAATCTTTCTGCATTAATTATAATTAAATATCATCTCAAGTGTTTGCTACTTCCTTTTTAGAAATAGGGTCATTGTCATAAATATATATATATATCAAAAAATGCGTGCATTAGGTAAGGACCGCAAGGTCTTAGACAAATAAACTGAGACGTTACGTCGTATCGAAGATCAAGCAGTGGATATTAGAACAAATAAGTTGGTCTAACAAAATTTTAATTCGCACATTCCACACAACTTATTATTCATACATTCAGCAAGATCCACTACTTATAATTAAGCACTTAAAAACAATAGTACCAAACGCCATCTTAATTAGGTTGAATGTTGTTCGATCTAGTATTCTTAAACATGCAATAAGGGGAAAGTTTAGTTCACTAATAATTCTGAAAAGCATAACATCTCATTCCGATGCAAGTTTTAATTAATCAACTTATCAGTGTTCATAATCAAATTAAAATGTAAAATTCTTAAGAACAATTATTGGTAGGCATCATATATTTAATTATGTAATATTACATCCTTTACTGCCGTGTTGATCTAATAAAGTTTAAGATTATACAAATACATGAACACATACAGTCATCATGCGAGCACGAAGCTACCGGGAAAGCTTGCAAGACCATTTAAAGCCGACCAGAAAAGAAACGAGGTAATCTGGCGAAAAAGTAGCTTCGAAGATCATAAACAATCAAGATTTTAAATATATTAGTTGATTAGCAAGAAAAATTATACAGAATTTGGCAACGAGACAAAATGCAGAAATCAAATGACAGACAAGAGCAAATTATTATACATCGGAATTATGAAAGAACAAATGATTTGTCCCTCTTTTTCCTAGTCAAATATTTGTCTGGTTATTGAGTTCCTCACATAAATGTGCCTAAACTGGAGAGAATTTCTTAAACGGACAATTTTGTTCAAGATTTTGGGTATTGGAAGAACTGATGAGAGCCAGTTGTAAAAGCACTAAAAGGGCTAGGATAAGAAGGCGGGGAAGCCGTACCAGTGCCGCCGGCAATAAAATCCGGGTGCATCAAGCCACCGGAAGAGCTTTCCCCGGCAACATTAGTTCCCTCAGGTCCTTGGTCATAAAGAATTCCAGTGAATACATGTCCTCCAATGTTCAATGATGTTTGGTATGCATATTGATCCGCCGCATTGTCGGTCGAGCTCAATCTAACGCATCTAAACACCGCCGGCGAAATCACTTCCGCCGGAAAATCCCCTTCTAGCCCTAATTTAACAAAAACACATGAAATAATCAAACCAAGAAAACCCATATTAAGATATTCTAAATCTAAGTTAAGCTAGTAACAAATCAGCAAAAGTATACAGAAACTGAGATTTTTGGGTTATTTTACGTACATCCAGAATACAGGTAATGGCTTTCTACACGCACTGTAGGAATTGCAGGCTCTAGGGTTTGTGAACTATACACTTTCACTATGTAGTTCAATTGTTCAAACAAGAATTTGTGTTTGTGGATCTGTAAATCTTTGTACAGTGTGATAAATACAGTAAGTACCTAATGCTGGATTCTCTCTGTGTCTTTTAGGGTTTGATCCGAGACGTTGCTGTTGTTGAACAACAGAAGAAATTTGCATCTGTTGATGCTTTGGTCGCCTTCTTGATACAGGAATCCAAGTGCTTCTGACGTGTGTTTGACACTGAAAACCTCGGCTTTTGCAACAAGTTCGGCACCTTGAATGTTCACAATCTTTCTTAGCTTGATTTCCACAGTCTTGGCACCTACTGCTTCCTCCTCCGGATTCTTCTCTTCTCATCATGACAAAAATAGGCTACTTAGTTTTAACTAAGTTATTTCTTCGGTCGCTTTCGGGGAGCTCTCTTTCTCTGGGTCCGATAACACGAGGAATTGCTGCTATTCTTGACCTTAGTTTTCTGTGTCAAGACGGAAAATTTCGAATTTTTTTCTAAATTTTTCAATCTTTTTTGTTAATAAATTTGGGTGTTTTTTACAGGGATTAATCCTGTTTCTCTTCTTGTTCTAGGTAAATTCATGGCTCAGTTCTCAAGTGTACTATAATTTGTTGGGGGGGTTTCAACCTTTTTCTTTTTTCTTAGCAACTTTGCAACAATTTTGGATTATTTTGAGAAAAGGGTTTCTGTATAAACGTACAATATGTACAACGGTGTGAGTTTTCCAACATTTACACAACATACACAGTAAATACATATGGAGTCCTGGTTGAGCCCCGTTAGAATTCAAAATTCACATTTTCGTTCTTCTACTCATTTTCAATCATATTTTTCAATAAAATAATATTTTACATCACATCGATAACTTTTTCTTCGATTTACCATTTCAAAATATATTCTTTCAAAATAATGTGTTTCAAACACACCTGAAAAAAATGAGAAATGCTGTTTTTGTACAGATTTTGCACAGAAAGACAGCTGTGCAAAATTTCCTGTACCTTCATATTTATTTGGAGAAGGTTTATAGCTGTTTAAACCCTACGCCCTTAAAAAAGATTTAGAAGGCCACATATAACGTACGGCGACACCTGGTCGTGGCGGTGTAACACCACAGTGAATGGATATGGAATACTATTCTTTACAGTACAGAGAAAATTCAACACTGTTTAAAGTAAGCGCAGAATCCCTTAAAAAAGGTATATTACGTACGGCGGAGGCAATTGAGGAGGCGACACCTGGATACGGTGGGGGCGACACCACAATTTGCTATCAAATCAAAAACTTTATAAACAGTTAGAAATGCTTATGATCTACAACAGTAAAATTCCAATTTTCTTTCAGATTTATTTTATTTGTAATTCCTGGTCTTGAGGACTGACAGCTTTCACTTCACCAAAGTACTACTCCCGGAAAACCCGCTTCTTCCGTGGCCTTTCCAAGCTCGAAACAGGAGGGAGAATAGTCTGCATTACTTAAAAGAATTGCCAATAAATAATAATTTTTCAGTGAATGTTTGGCTGCTTCCATATATGTTTTGAGCCCCCACTTTATGGAAAAATAAATTTTGCAACTGAGTTTACGTGTAAAATTATTTTATTAAGAGAATGTGTAGTTGAAATAAATTGGAAGAAAAATGAAGTTTTAGGGAATGAAACTCAAACATGAGCTAAATTTTAAAATAAATCAAGTCGCATTTCCTCAGGAAAATTAAGGTTGGATTTTCCGATCTTCAATATGGTGTGACTATAAATACTCAACGTATTTAAATATTTAAATGTGGGTTTCACGTGAGTATGTGATTGAAATTCTCATAGCATTAAAAAAAGGATAATACTACGTGTACACACGGCCATACATCCCCCTCATATGGAGGGGGGCCCAAGCATAATGAAATATTTGTGGGCCCCCCTCCATGTGAGGGGGGTGTAAGGCCATGTGTACACTGTACACATAACATTATTCTTAAAAAAATTGCACAAAACTTTCAATTGAAATGGAGAGAAACGTTAAGGGTCTGTTCTCTTTACCATTTTCAAGCCGTTTTCTGTTTTCGATTTTCCAAAACAGTGAAAACGCGTTCTCTTTCCTATTTTCCAAAACGAGTTTTTAAACACAAATTAAAAATTTACAAAGAAAACACAAAACAACAAATTTGTCGTTTTGAGTGTTTTCAGTTATAATCAAACCAAAAATTTTCAAAACACGTTTTGGGTGTTTTCAAAATGTAAAAAAGAACAAATTTTCAATAATCTCAAAATGAACACTTAAAACGCAAAACCCAAAATGAATTCAAAACTCAAAATACAAAATTTAAACATAAAGAGAACAGCCCCTAAATGGTTTAAAAATTTTGCTCTCTAAATTAAAGCCACGTGGAAGTTGTGTGCGATTTTATCATCCTCAATGACAATTTCAAATGCGTGAAGACCCAGAATTGTAAATAGACTAGGGACTCGTAATCACACAATTAGAGAACTAATCCTTAATTTTCACCCATTTTTAACTTATAAAAATCATAAAAATATATATTTGACCGTTTATAGAAATAAAAATTTACTATTAAGCATAATCAAACATGAATAATCTTATATTATGTTTTATATTATTTTAATATAGTGTATGCAACGCTTTGAATTATCGAACAGCAAACTAAATGAGATTTAAATTTATTTTTCTTTAATATTGTTGAAAAATTATATTTATTTAAACTCATTAGTCTGTTAAATATGAATTATAAAAAGGTTGAGGAATGACACAAGGGCCTCAAAACAAAATAAGGTAGGATCCAACATTAATATCCGTAATTCTTGTCCGTATGCAATAAAATCAGTGTCTAGTCTCGAGTTTTAACGAAAATGACTCTCTAATAATCAACTATCAGGTAAAAACACGAACATCACGAGGAAGGACCTCCTCCTTGTATTTTTTCAATAATGAGTGTTATTGCGTGGGGGCTAAACAAATTAAACTTTTTTTATTTTTTTCTAGAATTAGAGTCCATTCAATAAGATTTTGAAAAGTCAAAAAGGGTTTTTGAGACGGTTTAAATAATTTCCTGGAAACTCTCTCTTCAATTTAGACGAGTTTTTGAAGGAAATTGACATTTCAAGAAGCAATTCAATGAAAAAACAGTTGTAGAAGTAGAATTTATAGCAAACAGACCCTTAAAAGATTCGATGATACCGCAATGTTTGACCATTTACAATCTCCGAGTGATTAAAGGTCAAAAGATGAAGAATCTATACTCAAAATTTTGATTGATTACACTAAATAATTCAGCTTTCTTCAACTTAAGAGCGACCCAATAACATATATATAATCCAAAATAACATAGAATTAGGCTGTTTCCCAGTTGTGTAAAGATGCTTTAGCTTCTTGTCGGTTTGTGTGTGTGAACCTTTAGAAAAGATTTTTTACTGAAATTTTTAACCTTTGGAATTAAGTTTTCCACTGAATTATTAAAAAAAAAAAAGGGTACAAATAAAAATGTTAAAAACAAAAAACATTTGACAAATAGGATAATCCTAAGTTCGTATTGCCTAGAGCCTAAGTTTTATATCCACCCAGCTTTTTACTCTTATCCAGTTAATCCTAATGTTTATTTGTGGTGGAGTTGGTGGAAACAAACTTCCTGCCATAATTTTATCCATCTCATTATCAATTTAGAATTGGGAGACAAAAATGAATTTTGGGACCGGGTTAGGACAGATATTTTTCTACTTTGCAGGGGGGTGTCATGTCTCAAAATAAAATTTAGAGTGATGTTATACTTAATGAGTGACTACAGTAGTCACCCCACGTGAAATTCTATTTTAACATGATTTTATAATTTTAAAAAAAGAAAATAATCAAATGAATTTGTATATTCAAGCAAAATTATGTCTCACGCACTCGCTATGAATATTGTTATTCTAAAAGTTATTTTAGTAAGATGTTAACATTTTATTGGTGAGACAATCAAATTGGAACAATATATTTTACAATTCTTAGATAGTATAGAACATCCCTCCTCTCAAATGAAACATAAACCTAAGTCACTAATCTACTAAGATATTGCTCTTACCATTTAAGCTAGACTTGATCTCAGAGTCTTTTTATTCTTGTTTTCTTTTAAGGTTGTTGAGAAGCTTTGTTCCACAATGCATTTGATAAAAGTATAGACTATTTAATGGGCCATGAAACCCTTGAATTTGTAAATTGGGCCCATTTGTCATGGACCAAGATTTTTTTTGGGAAAATTACATGAGGAAATTACTCCCACCCCTAGTTTTAAACTATACAATTCAAAATTCAGATTTAAAAGTTTTCTTTTCAAAAATCAGATATAAATTAAATTCTAAATATTAATAATATTATTATGAAAATTAAATTATTCCACATATTCAATTCACCATTTTCTACCATAACCAAACCCTAATTATTCCCCTTTACCTTCTTTCTCTCCGTCCCCCAACCTCTCTCTAAGACGAGTAAGATTTCTCTTCCCAGCCTCTCTCTTTGTCTTCCCACCCGACGGTGCAGCCGCCACCGTAGCAGAAAAATATGGGGAAGGGTTTGGGGCATTTTGGTCGCCAACAGAAGAGAAATTTGGGGGAGGGGGAGGGAGAGTTTGGGGTATTTTAGCGATTTCGTTCTCCTCCTATTTGATTTGATTAGCTGGAGCCGCTGTGTAGAGGCGTCTTCTTTGCTGGAATGCAGAAATCTAGTGTCGATGGTGATGTTGGCGGCGAGGTGGTGGTGTTGTGATGGTGATGGAAGTTGCTATGGTTGTGGATCAAGATCGGATGCGACGGTGGTTATAGTGGTGTGTCGGTGGCTGTGGCTATAATAATTTTGCGTTTGATTATTTAGTGGTGCTTGGATGATGATGGTGGTGATGTTGGTGGTTTGGTGCGGTGGTTGTGGTTAGGCGGCGACAGCGATGTTTGGTTGCGGATGGTTTTACTGTCGGGATGGATGGTTTTATGGCCAGGATGTGACGGTGGTGGTCCAACAGTGCGATGTGTGGCGGTGGTCGTGGGTGGAATGGGATTTGGTGGGTGTCTGACAAATTATTGTTGATTGTGACCAATAATTGGTTAATTTTTCATAATTATGACACGTGACCTAAAAATGTGAGTATGACTCACAATTTATTAAGTTGTAATCGAGTCGTGACCAATAA